TTGAAGAAATTGCAGTTCTCGGATGCAGGCTTGAAAGAAATGGACGTTTCCCTCAGCCACTAGTGGGGACCCTCGCTTATGGAGAAATATGTGTGATCAAATAATTTACAAGAGTACATTGGTTTCATGTGAGAGTGGAGGCTTGCAGACCTTGCAGACAAAATCCTTCAAAAGAAAAGGAATAGCAGGAGTACAGTAGAAAAGACTATTAATCTTATTTTTAAAAGTATCACATATTTCCTTGAACTTCAGGGATATTTTTAAGACACCAAAGCCTTGACCTTTACCCTCATTATCGCTCATTATGTAAGACTTGGCCAATGCAGGGATTTAAATGTAGTCTTTTGCTACACTGGAAAGGGTTATTTGCTAAGGAGCCTCAAAAATGTCTAGAAATATAAGTCTAAGATCTGTGTGCATGCACAAAAATACACACACACACGCACTCACCAACACCCAGCTGTCCTCTTGTCTAATAGATTGACAGTGTAGAGATGATAGCAGGTCTGCAAAAATGATGTCATGGCAGCTGTGCTTTTGAGCTGCTCTCTTCCTGCAATACAATGTGGAATATGGAGATATGTGTGAGTGCGTGTCGCTGTGTGTGTGAGTTGACTAATAGAGAGAGTGGGAAAATCACTCAGAGAGCAGAGACAGTTTAGATACACACAGCATTACTGTAGAGATAGACTGACTCACAATTTGCACAACTGCAGGGTATTTTCCACCTGCAGCTAGTGTGAAAATACCCACTTTGACCTCACTGAAGGATCACTTATATACACACTGTTCAACTTCTACATTAGTCTTAATGGTGTCATTAAGGACACCTATTTAATCCTTGATTGCAGGGATTGATTACTGGTTGCCACTCTGGTAGACATCCAGGCTTTTCTTCAAGAAAATGCCACCAATTACCAAGAAAATGTCACCACTGGTGATGACTGCACCATCATTAGATCTCGGCCAATTATTCTCCTTCAGTAATATAAAATAAGGACGAGGGATGGCAGAGTCAGAGAGCAGAGAACATCCTGCCCACCCCCCAACCCTCCTTCCTCCCAACCCCCCTCCCCAGTGTGTCAGCCCAGCTCGAGCGCGGCCAAGCTCCGCTGCAATCGGCTTTGACTTCTTAGCGGCCGTGTGGTCTCTGCATACTTTTAACAAGCTCTGTCATTTCACAGTGCAAACAGGGGATGCCATGGATAAGCCTGTGGGACTGGTATGTGGTATTAAGGACCTGATCCGCATTGATCAGAGTTTTGCAAAAGAGCTTGGTCCCTCAGCATCTAGGAATGCGCTTCAGTGTCACAACCACAACCACATATACTGATCAATTTGCCCATTCCTGACCTCCCTCCAGTTGGATCAAGTCAGAAAAAAGATAAACCATTTAACTTAAAGATGAAGGTAAAAAAAATTAAACTATTACCTACCTCGAAAATATAATGAAGTCGCCTACACTCAACTAAAATTGATACACACACAGAAAGGCATTGGAAAAATGTGACAGCTTTTCACTGTGAGTCAGTTACACTGAGTTCAGGTCGTGCTATTCTAAATATGATATGACATGTCCGTGGGTTAGGAGGAATAGATTTATTACATAAGGCAAAGAGAGGGAGTTAAATATAGACCAAAAACCATGGGCAGCATCAAAACATATGGCAGAATAAACCAGATTATTGCAAGGATTAATGGATGATGAACAGTGGATTCATAGAAGGATACATTTAAGCTCTTTCTACACCTATATAGATATTTTTTAAAACAATAGTTAACGCCCTCCATTTCAAACAACGTGCATTTCACAAATATCTCTGTCCACACTAGAATCCAAAAATTACTCCAAGTGCTTGCCAGCATTTCCTGTCTTCAACAGTCTCCCCTCGTCACAAAGGTTGTAAAGTGTACAGGCTATTGCACACCTAATGGAGATCTCATCACTGCAGATTCCCCTTTGATATAAGGGTGAAAAGCTCAATGAAAGATACGTGTGATGCTTTGGACATGCAGAAGTTTTCCTTCCACTCCTCAACAACAATCCCACTCTTGAAATTCTCCCATCATTAGCCGGTTCCACTGAGCCTGATCCTAAACCATTATTCCTGGTGGGCTTTACCCACGGACGCTGAGGTGGAGCACACACCGGGGGCATTTTTTAAACATTTATTTGCACGTACGTTTTTTTCCCAACTGTTGGTTTTGTCATGAAGACTTTCAGATGAAATGCAAATATTATGTGCGTTTTCGCGCAGCAAATAAAGGCATCATCCAACCAAGTTGTGCAGACCATACGTCATGTCCCAACGTCACGACAATGGTGGACCTGTTGCATCTGTTGTAAATTGCATTGCTGCGTGTATGACTAGTTTAGATGCTGACGAGTATTTTGCTTTTTCATGCCGTTAATTCGTCACGCCCTGGTGTGTTAGGCCATAGACTATTTAAGAATTGGTCGTAGTTACGATGACGTCACCTATTGGTTTGTGGCCTCCTGTTTCAAAGCCTTGAGTTCGGCAATCAAGCTGTTGCCATCGTGGTTCTGATGAGGCAGAAGTCAATATATTTGGACGAGAGGGTGGAGCTGTGGAGGAGTGAGGGGTGGATCCGACTCATGGATTATGGGGATGCCTCGCCATACCTGTTACCCAAGGCGGCCCTGCCCTTAATTATGTGTAACTTTAAGCCTTAATAAAATGTAAACGGGTGACTAATATCAAATATTCCTCCGACATGCAGTTGTCATAAACTTTGAAATTAGCAAAAGTGACCAAAACCGTTATTTGTACCAGATGTTAACATGTTTATTTCTGCTGTAAAGTCTGGTCTGTGAACATGGGTATCTATAGGGATTGACACACTTCTGGAGCCAGCCTCAAGTGGCCATTCAAGTAACTGCAGTTTTCATCACATCCGTGTTGGCTTCATTTTTCAGCCCTGGAGATTGCTGCTTCGTAAAGGACTTTATTCAGATGGATTTATGGAAAGCAATAATACAGGTGTCCCAGATAACTTCCACAGTTTCAGCATCAATGCATCCCCAGGCTCCGCTCACGTTGTCGGATCAATATCGAGGATTATAATTGAAACATGCCCTTCTCCAGTGGCTTCACATTTAGTAGTTTATAAGATGAATCTTTAACTGGTGCCTAGGGATGTGTTGGTAAACACATAAACTGCAGCACTGCACCTCTGAACAAATAGGGTTTGGGAATATTTTGATCTCCGCACAAAGAATCAAATTAATAGAATTACATACCACTGAGCTTGAAGATGTCTTTAATATTACAGCTTGCATATTCGTGTTCATTGACAATGAGAAACTAAAAAAGAAGTAGGTTCTTAAAGTCTTAAATTACTGGGTTATTCTTTAATCATTCAGACTTGGCTGGGTGGTTAATAACACATTTTTCTGTGGTGTGACAAACTCATAACATATATTTATTTTTGCTTTAACCAGACTTTTAATGAAAAAGGTCACCCAGAAAGCCAGTTTAGACATGCCAGCTGATCTGTAGTAAAAGAGAAATGTGATTCAGTCTGAAAGAAGAAATATATTTAGCAGGTCTCTTAAATAAATAATGCTGGAAGCCACTCAGGAAATATAGCAGGCTTTTGTACCATTACTGATAGCGCCCCCACATGGCCTGTAAGGTAATTCCCCGGGTGCTGGAACACTGTGTGAAGATGCTTCATCACTGTAAATCTGATCAGTGGTGATGAGGCTGAAATTGGATTTTTATTGTTGACACACATTACACAGTGGCCACGTGGTGACGTTACTGGGTATTGGCCACCACAGCACTGGTTCCACCATGAATAGCTATTGTCATGGCAACCAGGAATTAGCATCCTTGGATACCACTGTCTCTCCCTCATCAGCTGCACTCTTTCCCTCCTCACCATTGTTCTTGTTTGATCTCACTCTCCTCTCTTCCTCTCTCACTCTCTCCGCTTTCCCTCTGTCTGTCCCCCCCCCTCCTCCCTCTTCCTCTTCCTCTCTGACCCCCCCCCCCCCCCCCCCCCCCCCCCCCCCCCCCCCCCCCCCCCCCCCCCCCCCCCCCCCCCCCCCATCCCCACCTCGTGTTTCCACACAGCCAGAGCCTCTCTGCCTGACTGTTCTCTCCTCAACCCTCTTCTATTTTCTCCTGTCTGTCTGTTTGTCTCCTCGCCCTCATGACTATTGATTGCCTATTCTGTTTATGTTCTACACACCCCCTCCTCAACTCTAATTGCTATTCACTCTGTGTACTTCACAAATTCCGCCTCACCTGATAAGCCAGTTTTGAATCTCTGGACAGCGAGTGCTTACTCTCCCAGTCTCTCTCTGTGATGCTTGTTGCTTTTTCATGCTGCCTGATGTTAAATGGATCAATTAGAATCAACAGAGATCCTCACTAAGCTAATGTTAGCTGGCCTGCCCACCCACTCACCCGCTTAGTCAATCCCTCCCAACTGTTGCTAATAGTATTCCCCACGGATGTGACGGCTAAAACTGTTTGGGTGTTGCCAAAGCAACTGGTCGTTCTATTTTTAGCTATTAACAAAGTTAGGCACCAGTTGTCATGTGTGTGGGAGCTTGTTTAGGCAAATTAAGAATGAGTCGTGCACACACGTAAGTCCACTGACTGTGAATGTGATTATGACAGAATAGGATTTGTTTTCTTTGTTGTGGCTGGATTTAGACTTCCACGGATCCCTGTGCTGGACTCAGAGGGCCTCAATGCAACAACGCAGTTTATCGCAATGAGACATGCTATAAAAACAAGCTATGAAATATGCAAAACTCTGACTTTGGCTCTGTGGGAAATAGTCCCGTTAGACATCTGCTCTTTATAGCACTATAGCGCTTTAACCCTCTTGCCATTTTTTTGAACCTTAACTCAGCCTCAGTGGTCTGACAGCCAAGGGATTCTGCATTCATATTCACAATCAATACTTCATTAGTGTTTTCAATGCATCTCCCTTGTCTCTCTCTGCACTCTCTTTCATTTCAGTTGACCTAACAAGTTTTGCCGAGGATACTGGGAGGAACCAATTCTTAAAATGCCCGTGGCAACATCCAGCTCTGACTCTGGTAAGTGGCTTTGTCTCGCTATGACGGGGGCGTGTGTGTGTGTGTGTGTGTGTGTGTGTGTGTGTGTGTGTGTGTGCGCGCGTGCGTGCGTGTGTGTGCGTGTCAGTGAGAGAGATATCGGGAGGCAGACAGGAGGGAGGAGATACTGAACGGTTTGTGGTTATTCCAGCACTCAGGACATGTATCTCATCTCCAGAGTTCTAATGCGACTTAATGAGCTGGCTAATGGAGCGCTAAAACTCCACTCTTAGATCTGTCATGCCTCGGAGGATTTGCCATTGTATCCTTCGCAGCCTTCCACTTGTGCATGTATGCACGTTAAATCTGCACCAGTGGCCAGTAGGACGAATGTACACGAGCGTACGCAGGAACGTGCACGCACCCTCACACAAATGTGTCTTGTTATGGATTGATGACTGATCAGTGATGACTGAGATAGTATGGCGGGAAACCCCGAGGGTTAAGTGATTTGCAGTCACCTTCTTCCATCGGTCAGAGGCACTTTGGCAATTGAGATTTTAACTTTTTTGAGTTATATGAATGAATTTTTAATTATTTGTTTAAGGCTGTTGGATTAAAATGTGATAGTTTGGCAGTTTGATACCACTTAAAGGCTGCTGTGAAAGATTAAACTTAAAGATGCTGTAAAGACATTCACAAACAGTGCGTAACACAAGTCTGTGCTTAAACCATGGGTACAAGTCAGGGATTCATCAATATTTAATTTCCTAAATTTGTCTGTACTCTGGTAACAAATTTAGAGCTGCCTTAGTCCATGCCCACGCACAAATGATAAAGGACCATCAACAATATTCAAACCGTTAATTTACTAATTCATTGGCCAAATGTTTTTAATAACAATAAAACTGAAGCCCCATCATCCTCATTAATTATTGTCATAATTTAAAGAAATTCAACCACAAAATAATGTAGAGCCTGACAAAGGCAAAACCATTATTAGCAAGAAGAAAACAAATGTAGTTCTAAACTCTATTATCAGTGAAACAGTTGGGTGGAATTTATTTCTCGCTCATTTCTGATGTACTAAAATAGCATGGATAGAGTGCTGTAACTTGTATTCTGAGCATCGCAGCAGTTCCCTGAGACTTTACTAAGTGGCAACCTCTGGGGCTAAAAAATGAAGCCAACACAGAGGTGCCAAACACTGCAGTTCCTCGAATGGCCACTTGAGGCTGGCTCCAGAAGAAAGCCAATATAGGCAATAGGCAATTTTCTATATAACTCACCTGTTTACATTTTATTAAGACTTAAAGTTACACATAAGTAAGAGCAGGGCCCCTTTGGGTGACAGGCTGTCTGCGAGGCATCCCCACAATCCATGAGTTACATCCACCCCTTGCTCCTCCACAGCTCCAACCTCTCATCCAAATGTGGTTACTTCAGGCTCAAAAGAACCAATATGGCAACAGCAGGAATGCCGAACTCAAGGCTTTAAAATGCAAGTCTAAAAACCAATAGCTGACATCACAGTAGCCACATCCATTATTTTTACCAAAATAATCAAACATTTGCGTTTGGAGTGACGGCGTCTGTAATGACGGCCATAAATCACAGTGTGAAACAACCGGTAAGATAAGTAGCAGCAGAGACCTGGGCCACTTACTTCATGATACACCTCTGGGCAAAGGTATTTTCTTATACAGAGAAATAGAGGTGTGACAGTATGCTGATGGAAATAGCAGGCACACACACGTACGTCACCTTAGATTCTGAGTCATGAAATCGATGGCAAGTTTGTGTGCACACTTATTTTGTGCGCAAAGTAAGAACCTTTCTATACACATATTAGTGAACGAAGCTCCTTCAGTCAGGCACTGGAGAGCAGACTTCTGGAGTCAGAGCAAGACATGGCAACTGCTCCAAACAGTGCAGCATGTCTTACACTGGATCCCAGGGCATCTAATCTGGGTGATAAGAAAATAAACATGTGACTATTCTTACTGAAAATAAAAATGTATTCAACTTGTGTGCAAAAGTAGGAGAATTACTGAAATTAGAAGTCAAATTTGGCATCACATTGATGGTCTCTTTTGTTGGCAATGTATCAAAGTGAATTTTTTAGACGTATACCTTGGCACTGATATCAAAGTTGAAAATGTAGCACTGTGACTGCAGTAGCTTTGTATTTCATATTAGTCTCTAAACTGGCATGTAGCCACACTTCCATGCATTTCCTCTTCACTCAGTGCTGAGGGCACTTGATCCAGACACATAAAAGATTGAATAGCCATGGCCAGATGTCTTGGAAATTAGGAGTCTCAGTGTATTGGTTAACAGAGGACCAAATCTAGAACTCAAAGCTTTATAGTATTTTATCGTGTGGTAATAAATTGCAGGAGTCAGCTGTCGGATCGAGGGAGAAAAGCAGTTCCACAGAGAGTTGAAATGTGTGCGGAGTTTCTTTTTTTGTAATGGGCTGTCAGTCAGTCCTGATTTGTACAACAGCCGACGGCTTAGTCTGGATGACTGGCATTTTTAGTAACACACAGTAAATTGTTCTCCAAACCAATTCATGTCTTTTTTTTTAAATTAAAAAGCAGCATTCTTGGGAAGGCTATTTTTGCACAGGCTTGGAGAAGGGTTAGAGTAGGGTCAGTTTTGATTTTAAACAGTGGGATATTTTTCAACTCCTGTCAGCGAAGGGACTTTATTTATGAGCAGAAAGCACAAATATAAATTTCTCAATAAGCACTGACTGCATCTGCAAGGCTGTCTGTGTTTGTACCTGTGACTGTGATGTCAGTAACGGAGGGTCATCACTCATATATACTGTATGTCAGCTCCCCACGCACCACCTCCTTGACCAATCCTCCTCCCAACAAGCCAGCCTTCTGCTCCTCTTTCCCCCACTTAACCCCCACGGGGAAGCCTGGAGGGAAAAAAATGGTCCTGCCTCCTTTTCTCCCTCCTCCTAGAGAGAGCATCATACTTCCCTCCCTCTTTCTTCCCCCACTCCCCCACCTTCCTTTCTTTGCTCATGCACACAACCCTCTCTCGTCTCCATTCATTCATGCGGAGGAGAAGACGCTCAGCCAGGCATAGCTTATACACATTCACGTCAAGAGCAGGTGGAGAGGGAGGAAAGAGCGAGGAGCTGTTTTGGCAGAAAGAGGAGAGAATCAGGGAGAGATAGGGAGGGAGGAAGAGAGGGAGGTCTCTCAGTCTGCCTCAGATACAGTATTGGGTGTGTTACTGTGAGTGTGTGCACTGTAGAGAGGTGTTGTTCACCATGGCTGGCAGCCTGTTTGGAAGGCTCTCCCTGGAGGAGGGGGACTCAGTCAACTCCCTGGAGGGCCTGGAAATCAAGCTGGGGGGAGAAGGTAAGAGCACAGGTCTCTACCTGCTGGGCGCGTGAGGGGATGGCAGGACGGTTTATAGAACTGATGAGTTCTCCGGCTATGTGTTTTATCACAGGTGAGGGGAAATGTAGTGGGCAGAAACTGGGGAAGCTGGGAATCACTATTAAAATGCAACTAACCAGGCGCAGCAACACGCTTATGTACACATTAGCGTTTATGGGCTAGTTGGTGTTTGAAATTCGCATTGCACCTGCTCCTGATGTGCTGGTTCAAGCCTCCAGAGTGTGATGAAGATGAGCAGAGACAGATTAGGACCCAGGGCAGCATGTGATGTACAGGAATCTGAGGCACCAGGCTACAAAGACAGGAAGGGAGACAGCAAGGTGCAGTTAAAACATACCTGAGTTTCTTTAATTTACAGCGAGAAGCCTTATTGTAAACTGAAAGCAATAGAGTGAGAGACAGTGGACCGCACTCTGAGATAAGTAAAGAAAACAAAAGCAGATAAGAAGTCATTAGAAGATGAGCAGCCTGTGTAAAAGCAAGCACGCATTTGTTGTATTGAATGATAATCCACAGATAATGTTTGCGTACACAGTATGGAGTAGAGCATACCATACATTTAATTAATAATTGATGGAGTTTGTTAATACTGCATGGGGCTGCATACTACACACTCACATGTTGAGAGTGTGTGTATCTATTTGCTCAGTGTTAAGTGCTTACATCTATCTGATGTTGTCACATTAAATTAGTTAAGGTTGGAGGCATCATTACATCATTGCCAAGTCTATTACATGTCACACAGTATACCATGTTGCAAGATATCCTGTGCTCTGTAATGTAGCCTGACAAGACAGCGGTGACAGCCATGATGAATCACATTTTCTGTCAGAGCATTTGCATCCTGTCTATCAGTTCAGAGCATGTGTGTGTGTGTGTGTGTGTGTGTGTGTGTGTGTGTGTGAGTGAGAGAGAGGGACGGAGAGAAGTATAGAGAGAGACCTCCGGTGCATTGTACATTCATGGAGAGTAGGTAGGGGGTCATTCATATGCAACAGTGTTCTGATCAGAGACAGCACGCTTGAAAGTGTCAGACTCACAACCTTCAAATAACTCTGTGGCTCTCTCACTTTCACCCCCACTCTCTCCACACACACACACACACACACACATTCCCCCACACTCTGATACACAGAACGCCATCAGAGGAATATTCTGTGTGCCTACTGGACTAATGAAGCAGTGTTCAAACACAGATGATGGATCATTGAGTACAGTGTGTTGGTAGGATTAGCCTGTCAAAGATAATCGCTGGGTTTCAAGAGAATGGGACAATTTAATTCTGTTCCAGCAGAGGGTATTCGATAATGTGGCGACACTGGCAATTATTTCGTCCATATCGCACCCTGATGATCTCTGTTTGCTCTTTCATTAACTGCTGTGGGGGAAACAGATGCACAGTCAAAGTCAAAATGTTTGCTTCCTGAGAGTCGATAGGTCGATAAACTTGTTGGTGTTTGTTTTTCCCTAGGGCTGGGCGATAAAGAGAAAATCAAATATCACAATATATTTGACCAAATACCACAACAGCGATGTTGTAGGGTTGACTCTAGGTGCTTTTACAAACTATTTACGCAATGAGATTTTTGATAAATAATCATCAGTTACGTGGATATA